AGTAGAGTTCTTGAATATGACCCTCATACTATGTTTTTTCCATCCTCTAAGGTTTGGACAGATGTGGATATGAATTTAATGGCAACACTGTATTCACTGTAATTAGACATGGGGAATAGCGTTACATTTCTATCGCCGTGACTGTCGTTCCAGTTCCAAAAAAATCACGGCGATAAATCACCGTGATTTTGTCACGACTGTTACTTCCGTCACCTTGTCACGCCTATAACTTACATCACAATATACGGTTTTAGCCAGCGGCTTCTTTTTACTACTTATAGCCATTTTTTAAAGAATGATTTAAGTTTTTTCTCCCTTTGTAATAAGTTTCAATTCCATTCAAAAATGGTGATTTTGTATTTAATGTAATTTTGTTTGTTACTTATTTAATGCGAATCTTTGGATTGTTAAAAATAGCAATAAAGTGTAATGTAATTATATTTCTAGTAGAATACACAAAGTAGATTATACTTAAATATAAAATACCAACTCTAACTCTTAAATACAAAACAAATATACAAAAATATGTTACTTTGTTAATAAATAGGTTTATAGTAACTGCTGCAGATTTTTTTATCCGCCCTTTCTAGTTGTAATAAGCACCTACGACCTTTGTGAGTGAGCAAAGAAAATCATCCTATCTCACTCACTCCCATCGCCGAAATGGCCCGATTTGAAGAGAACTACAACAAGTGGCGCGCTCAGTCACCACGGAAAGGAGATCGCGCATTGTATCAAATACGTATGTCGTGATGTGAGTGACGGGGATAGCCATTGGAACAGAGGAACACCTATGTAACTTTGGAACGTCGTTCCTTCGGAACGAGTCACGGTGATACTGTTTGACGGCGGATCATCGTGATTTTTTCATGACTTTATTTATCACCCACCTCTAACTGTAATGTGATTGATTCGCTCTGGGCCTTTTGGAGGGAAAAGTGTCGTTTTTATTTTGACTTTCAATTATTTTGTGAAATCTAGTTTAAAGTGGAACAGGATGGTGCTATTGTGCCTTAATCGAAGATTAAAACGCGAAATTATACGAATCTCGAACTAAAATACCCGTATCGGCCCGTTCTAAGAAATCCCGAGTCAATCCAAGCACGCCGCCTCAAATTGCCTATCCTCTTTGTGGTGGCCATATTTACAGAAATATAATTAAACGTTTATGTTTTCGGCTGAAGACTTTGTTTCCATGGCCGGTAATAATTAAAAAAAAAATGTAATGTG